TCGATGTGTATGGTGCATTGGGAAGTAATGGCAGCGTAGTACACTACTCCGGCGTCGATGTCAACGTCGGGGGGGCAATGAATTACACAAGTGGAATTTTTATTGCACCCTTGGACGGCATATATACTTTTCATTTTCACTGTGTTATTCCTGATAAACATCTTAATCTCTTTTTGCGAAAAAATGGATGGAATTTCGCTGCTTTGTTTTCTGATGACGCCGGTGTGAAAGGACATGAATCGACGCTAGGTCAATCCATTCTTCTACGCCTGAATACCGGCGACAAAGTCGATATCTATTTCCAAAAAGGAGCACTCCCTCCCTTGGTCCCGTACATTCCTTACACACATTTTATTGGATACTTGCTCTATCCCATGTGAAACAACATATGGGAATATGCGTACCACTTCATTTTATTTTCCTTATTAAACTTCTTTGTCATGTTTTATTCTCTTTTTATTATCAAATCCATTAATGGAATAGTCCGATTTTCATCATAGGACTCTCAACTTAGAAAAGACCTAACCTTAGAAGCCTTTTCCAGCCTAATTTAACTGGTATCAAAATCCTTATCATTTCAGTGCTTTGAAAATGCTTGAGCAAATGTGATGAGCGAATTATCAACCAAGAGGATCCTTTTGCATGGCCATCGCCACAGAGCGCAAAACACGACCATAGTCCGTTGAGTTCTCGCATGGAGGTGCAAGATTCTTTTCCTTAATGGATTTGAAAATTGGAACTCATAGAACGTCAGACGGAATAAGCATCTACTTGGGTGTCGACTCGAAGTCGACATCGATGATGAAAAATCACTGCATATGTATGAGAGGCGTTCAAACATTTTTTCCCAGAGGCACTTTAAGTTGTAATACACCATTCATATTGTTTTTCATAGAAAGACAGATGTCTTTGCTGATGAATGGAAAATTTTCAACTTATTTGTCTATGATGGAAAGCTTCTATGAGTTTTTTTCAATGTGCTACCAAGGAGACTGTTGGTGGAGTATTAAAATTGAAAAGAAAGCTGTGATGAATTTTTTAACCTTGAAGGAGTCGGTTTCTCAGCAGATATTTTGTCGGCTCTGAAGATACTCTATTGTTGCCCTACTCTGCAAGATCCAAGATGGAAAATGATTCCTTCAAGGTTAGAAAATTCATAATAGCATTCTCTTCAATTTTATTACTCCTTCACCAGACTCCTTGGTAGAACAATGAAAAAAAAATTCATAGAAGCTTTCCATTATAGACAAATAAGTTGAAAATGTTCCATTCATCATCAAAGACATCTGTCTTTCTATGACAAAAAAATATGAATGGTGTATTACAACTTAAAGTGCCTCAGGAAAAACTTTTTTGAACGCCCCTCGTATATATATTTTTTAGACCTATATCAGAATGTTTCCTTTATTTTTCCTGAAATATACATTTGGATTCTCAATCCAAAGGTGCTGCTTATATGGATTCCTTTCCATATTCGTGGACCTTCCTTCAAGTGTCTCATATTCTTCATTTCCAAAATATCTGCAAAACGGATCGCGATAAATTGATGGAAATACTCGAATCTCTCATCCAAAAGATATGATTTTGAGTCTTCACTGTTTAACTACTGCTTTTCACAGCTTTAGTTCCATACTCTGTCTATGTCCTTAGCATTTAACTCGGAAACACAACTCGAGCTCGAAAGATACTCGCGTTTCCTGTTCTCTGACACTCGCCACTGAATCGGACTTAAGGTATTACTTGGGGACTAGAGGAACACCTCAAATCTTTAGTTGAGGAGGAAAAATCAAAGACGAATTTTTGAGAGTGTGAAAACCACGACGAAGTAGGGTCGTGTCCCCAATCAGCTCGGAACTGACTTCTCAATCCCCATTTTTCCTCTCTTGTTTACCTCAAGGGAGGGGATTTCCGAATTGATAAAGTATTCATTGATCATCTACGTTCCAGAAAGTGCCTTTGCGTGGACACGTTTATGAAAAATTAATTTCTCTCGATTGTAGTCCAGGTTACAGTCCTGTTCACATTTCTAACAAATGGGAATGGCAACGGAGTACTTTCATGAACAACATGTTATGACAGAGCTAAAGAACCTTCATTTCTGCCACTTTCAGCTTGATGTCTAAAGAGAACATCGGCCAACGCTTTAGCACATAGCTCTTAATAGGGTGGAATTAGCTGAATATTGGTTCAAATAGTCCCGTAAGGGATTTCACTTTATCAATGAATGTTTCAGTTTGCCTACTGGACTAACATTCTTGATTCCTTTGTCTGATATTAGTTCATCATGGCCGCATGTAGATGTTGCAACCACTGACTGCGAGCAGAGTTCCACTGTACCTATTTCCCATCGTTCCCTATCCCCAACAACATATGACGTTCCCTTTCTGTCCATCACTCATGGCAAAGTGGCCGAAGTTTAGGTCCGGGTTGCATCTTACTTCTATGATGGCGAAGACATGTCAGTTGCTATCCTTGTCCACATTTGGTTAGAAACCCAAATAGTGGATGTGTGTCTATTGTCAGGAATTGTCTACAAGGAAAGCAAGGCGTGCTTTTCTTGTAAAGTCAAATCTTGAGTAGCAGGATTAGATCTGAACAGGTATGTACTACAAACACTGCAATTTCGGAGTAAATCCTGTACATACAATATTGGCAGAAAAACCTATTCCTCGTAGTCTTTTTATATATCAGATGCGTGGCACTGTGGCGTCACAGTTCTCCGGCTTCCTTGGTTTGCTTCCAGAGTTCAGATTGATGAATAAAGTGAGAAAGAGTGAAGACCGAGCATCCCTAGGGATGGCACCTCCCATACATCCTAAATGCACCGTTCCCTCCTCATCGAGATGAGGGAAGGTTTGCATCCGAGGTTTCTGCATTTCCTTCTCCGCTGATTTCCTGATTCCTTCATCCCGTCATCGCCGGGAATCAATTTTCATAGTCACGTGCAATGGTGTCTGGTGCGCCACATTACTCAAGACTACGGAACGAGGACACGTCTTGGCAGCATCCAGGCACTCTAAACTGACCGGATCAAACCCCAGTATTATGGGATTATGGGCGGAACGCCTATTAATTGGGGACACCCATAAACAGAGGCCAGGTGTCCGAGTTCCCATGATATCCGAAATAAAACGCACAGAGGTGCATGAAAATAATTGAGATCTTTAAACTCAGTCATGAGAAGATGTTTTCAGTCCATTTTGTCCAACCTTGCAACACTTTTAATCCTGAAAGGAATCGGTAACTGCCATCCATCTTCCTCGCCCTTACGATTTTGGAAACCTTGAGAAGATCCCCGACGAGTACCAGGAACACCTAGGTCCACCACAGATGGCCTCGAGCCCCTTTCGACGCTTTGACAGGCTGATGGACAGCACGAAATCAATGAGCACCCATAAAACAGACAATGCAAAGTTGGACCGGACGGACTATACGCTGCGCTCTTGCTTTGGAGGCCATCACCTCGCAGCTTCTCATTCCATCGGAAGCGTTCGCAGCCACGAAACACGCCGACGAACCCCCACCCCGCACCACGCACTCCGGACCGGTCATGCCTCGCACGACGCAGAAGCCGAATGCGGAATATCTCACGTCACGCGCCCGCAATCTCGCATTCCTCTCGGCTTCCTCATCCTCTCGTCTGTTTTACGACCGACGCAACCGCGACGCAATCGAGCTTCCGCACCGAAAAACTTTTCCTCGCTGGATTTCAATGTCGAAACTCGGAGAAAACACCAGAGAGAAACCCAAACTTCGTCGCGGAACAGAATGAGCCCCCTTCCGGTGACCCCCTCCGCCATCTACATAACAAAACCCGAACCAAAGTCCTCTTTGAGCTACGCAAGATCGTGCGACTCTCGTTCCAGGCCCATCCCCTCCCACCCCCTCATCCCCACGTGCATAGAAACAAGCAAAGGGAACAGAAACCAGATAGGCCTCGAAAAAACTTTTTCAGCTCCACCTTATCGATCTCGTCGAGTCACAACTTTTGTTTACGTCTGGTCGTCCCACCAATTTTATCTCAACGTTAAGCAAAAAAATTCTCTCGGATTCTGATTCAACTTCCAAGTACAGGGTGAGGCAGAAGCATTTCCTCTATCTTTTTTTTTTTTTAAGGTTTGTCCGTTCTTGTTTAGTTTGCTAATTGAATTTGTTCATTTTGGCTCTAATAGCGATATTTGCAATGCCTTAAAGTATATTTAATGGTATGCAATATCGACTTACCATAAAAAATGTAATCTCTTTTTTGTTGCAACTTCCTTTGCCTGTGAGCATGATACGATCGACTAATGTGACCCGGGAGATCTGTGGAAACTGGACCGTGAGCATATTCGATTATAGTGGGCTGGGCAATGGTTCCGATTGGCATGTTCGATTGTGCGATGAGGCTACATTTAAGTTGTTATGTGAGAGTGCAGGAAATTGGCTGAATTGGCTCAGATTGGCTCAATCGAGGCTGGTAATCGTGACGATTGCCGGTGTAATGGCACGACTGTTGCGGGAATCGACGCGGACGGCGAGGAATGATTCCATTAAGCGCGATTGACCATGTGTGAGGAGTGAAAGGGCGAGAAACCCCATTTCCCTCACGTGGTCGAAGGGAACATGACGTAGCGGATTTCATGGAACGGGAGATATGATTGATGGACGTGCGACTCTATCGCTCGAAGGTTGCAGGATATATAAAAAGAGAAGGGGGGCGGAGGAGGTTTCGGGATCTTGCGTGGTCGACCTTGGGGGGGGACCGAGATCAATCCGCGCAGGCCTCTATGTCTTTAGCGTTTGTCTGTCCTTGGGCACGCGACTGAGGTAAGAGAAAGAAAGCGATTTCGTCTCTTCTCTCCTTGAGGCCTAGCGGAAAGTGAAAGAGTCGAACGGGGAGCGAACGGCTTGAGAAAAAAAAGCCTGTGAAACGGTGTTTCCCAACAGCAGAGATGATAGGGGAGGAGGTCTGATCGGGTGGCGGATTGCGTGGGACGAGGGGAGGGCTCAGATCGGGCGCGCGGTCCCGTTCCCGCGGGCCAGCTAGTCGACCGCGCAGGCCTCCAGCAGGCAGCTGGCAGCCCGCAGCGCTTCTGTCCTCCCTTGTCTGGGTTTCTCTCCGAGGGCCTAGGCCTAGCCATCATGGCTGCTGGCTGCTGTGGTGGTGCAAAGAAGCAGAAACTAACCAACAGCACCAGCAACCACCACCACAACAATCACGCGCACCACCACCATCACAACGGCCTCTGCGGTGGGTACGCTGTGATCGGCCTCCCGTTGAATGGGACTCTGTCTCGGTCGGGGATGGTGGCCCATCCCGAGATGTGCTTCTTTTGTTTCGACGTCCTGCATCACCATCTTCACAGCCTGGACCCGCCGAAGGCCCCCACTTTCTGCAATGACGCCTTGTGAGTCCGTGGGGGAAGAGATTGAACCGTTTCGGTGCAGCTGGCCCATCCGCGGGTGACGTGGACCCATTGCAGCCATTCAATTTGGCCTAAAGCCTATCCTAAAAGGATTTGATCTCTTGAACAAAGGATATATCGTTGGGCTTTGTCGATCATCGGAATATTAACATGAACCTTGTCACATTTTAATGGCGACCATGGAAAACGTTAGTCTCAGGCCTAACTTAAAGATGGTTTGGCCTGTACTCAGTAGATGCTCCTGGGAGAGCCTGTTTAGCATCTGACCAATGGAAGGAGAGCAGTTTAATGAGTTGATGTGTTAACGATTTTATCATTGGCTCCATATCTGTGATAAGCCTACATGGTAAAAATTGCATATTTATAAATGGAGACCTGCTGTTGCTGTCCATATGTCATGGTGTCCATATATTAAGGAGAGACTTCCATAACCCGATATTGTATATTCCTAGCTGTAGGTTCATCGTGTTGAGTAGTGGTTGAAGAAAAAAGTGTATTGCATGACCTGTAGGTACATGTAATGCACAGGCAAATGCTTTATCAGGAAATGTCCCAAATGGTATATTTCTTTGACTCATAAACCCTTTTCTATGGATGCAGTGTCCATATTTGGCTTGAAGTCATTTTAATGCTTTCCATCCATGTGGCAGCAGGCTCTTCCTTTGCCAACAGGCAACACATCTGCTTTCACGGGGAGCGTCTGCTTAGCGTGTTGTAACACACGCACCACTCTGTGTGCCGTGTATAGGAGAAACGGGTGTAGTACATCTTAAAAACCACTCGTGCCAGTCATGGGCTTAGGCAACCCATGAGCTGCCCCTAAGGTCTCCTACAGGACTGTATAGGGGTGTCCCAGCCCATGGGACTATGAATGAACTGTAGTGCTCATGCCAAGCTGGCACCTGCTTCCTCTCTGTGTCATTTAGAATAGGTCCATTGTTGTGTGTCCATCACATGTCCTGTCCTTAAAAAAAAAATTATTAAAATATATATGTTTATAACTAGGCTGGCTCAGAAGTGTAAGATTTGCATTTGTAATGCATGAAACACCATGCTGTTAGAATTGCGATCTTCCAGGCAAACATTGGCCTAACATGACGTATCGGCCTGACGAGCATCATGTTAGGCTTCATGCAACGGGTCATCATGCCATCGCATGTGCAATGTAGGCCCAAGCCCATCATTGTATGGAACTGAGTAAATACATAGGTTTTTTTTTCCCACTATATATGAACCCAAGCAATAAAAAAATCCAGGTCGTATTGTCCTGATTTGCCCATTCAGGGACACAGGAACTGGAACAAAGACCAGGAAAAAAAGCATGAAAGTAAAATGGAAGAGCTGATGCGTTGTAGGCCACACGTGTTGTCTTTCCTTGAAGGAATGTCACCTGCCTTGCCTTATCATGCTAGGTGAGGCAGAAGAGGGGCAACTTGCTTGCAAAGGATGATCAGGCAAGTTAAGGGATTTACGTCTGTGGAGAGAAAATTCCTTTCGACTGTGGTGTATATAGAAAGTAAGATCTTTTAAGAAATAGCAATTTGCTGTAAGATGGCTGTTTCTTAAACATTATTCAGTTTCTTAAGATGTTATTGAAGGGGTTATTGAAAACATTAGAAAATAAAATTATTATAAGTAATTAAGGGGTGGAAGAGGTATGTATTGTAGAAGCTGCAACTGTAGTTGCCTTCAAGCAAAATTGATTAGACTTACAAGAATGTTATCATGATTTTCAAAATCCGTGTCATTCAACTGAGGATCCTTTTCCCCAACTAATTCATCTGGAAAGCAAAGCTTAAATTAAGTGAAGACAGTCATGGTTCCATCAATGTTCAAACGGTTAGAAGTTATTGTTTCCCTCTGATCTCTCCTCTTCTTTCATCTCAAAGTATTCTTTAGATCTTGTCATTTGTCTCTTTTTTTGTTTTTTTTTTTTTCTATATCTATATCTATATATATATATATATATATATATAGGCCAAAGTTTCAATAAAGTCTTTCTATATATATATATATATATATATATATAAATATATATATATATATATATATATATATATAGGCCAAAGTTTCAATAAAGTCTCATGAGGGGTTTATGATTTTTAATGTGGGAAATACCAGAATCCAGCTGGTTAAATGTTCAATTCTGTTTCATCGTTCCTAAAGAAGCTCTTGAAACTGCTTTGCCTAATTACTATCATGTCATCATGAGTATACACAGAGAATCTGACATTAAAAGCTAATGAAACAGCCTATGTAAGTGATTAAATTTTTGTGTTTGTGTCCATAGAACCCAAATCAGTGGAACTCAGAATGCCTGCCACTAGAAAACATGAATCGGTTTTTTCTTGAATGGACATTACTGTCAACTGAATGCTGATTCCACTTGCCAAAGTAGCAGGCAGTCTGATCTGAGGAACAAAGGGAAGGACCACAGCTGCTAAGTTGTTATAGCTGAATGAGAAAAACATTTCAGCTGCAGCAGGTCATTAGCTAGCTACAGCAAAACGGTCTGTGAACCGTGGAGCAGGCACGTGTTCCGTTCCATGCCTGTTGGAGAAGGCCGAGTTTCAAGCGTGCACATTTTGATGGGTTGCAAATGCAAATGACTTACTTGCAAATGATGGCAAGGAAGTGTATAGGTAGACTAATGCACACAGGCTCCTTCTTTTTGTCTTTAATTCTTGGTGGTAGTTTGCAAATGTGTGTGCCTGAGAAACAGATCTATTTATGTATATCTCTTTTCCTCACTCAGTCTGTCTGGCTCGAGTTTTCTTTGTCTGTGACATGCCTGTCATAGATCTAATGCATGCTTGTGAAATGACTTTGTGTCATGTCTATTCATATTTCATGCTTTCATACCTTTTTTTTTTGCTTTGGAGAGATGGTGGAGCTACAGTTCATGGCTTGCCAATCATTGCCAACTTCTGTGGGCTTGATTCTCTTTTGCCCCTCCCACTTTTAGCCAGCTTCCTTTCCAGAAGGGAAAGAATCTGCAGATGATTCCTGTCTCTCTCTCTCTCTATTTGTATGTGTCTATGTCTCCGACTTCGATAATTTCCCAACAAAATCTCAAATGAATTGGTCAGCACTGTGAAAATTTGAATGTTAGTGGTTTCCATGCAATTTTTTTTACATGCTTCATTTAATTTAAGATTTGAAGTGAACGCCGCATGGAGCCGCGTCAGCAGCTGTCATTGTTTCCGGTTGTCAATGTGGATCTGCAGTCCCCCCCCCCCCCCCAGCCCGGGTTAGGATGGCATGCTGCCAAGCGGGAGGGGGGGGGGGGATGCCCCATTCCATTCCAGCTTCCCCGCTGAGAGATTGCTCTCGCGCCGTGAAGCCTGAAGCGCAGACAGGATTCCGTGCGAACTTGTGGGGCGGACGTGGACTTTCCCCGGTCCCAGAAGTGGTTGGAAAGGGGACGCGGCGCTGGATTGGGCAGGTTTTTTTTTTTTCCAGATGTAGGGGGCAGGTGGGACTGTTTCATGCTGTGTTTGGAATCGCAGATCTAGTCAAAAGTTCCTCTTCTGGGCGGACTCTTTCCATGGATCAATACCCACAAGCAACCGCACCCACTTTCCCCCTCTCGATTTTTTTTTTTGGTTTGCTTGGAAATGAGTAATGTAGTTGCGAAACGCTTTACAGGGAGACTTGTCGCATTTTGTTGTCGATTAAAAATTTCCGAAATAGGTTGGGGAATAAAATTAATTTGTTTATTCGTTCTTGTTTAATTGTTAATTGTTGATAAATTACGGACACAGGGCAATGCTTCTTGGGCGGGTACCAAGCACGGATGCGTCCACGTCACCGTTCGTGGTTTCGTCGAGGAGCTGGGCGAAAGGGAGGTGGTTATTGGCGGGGGGAAATGTTGGCCGGAAGAGTTGCATGTGTGTTGGGAGATGGGAAACTGCGGGCAGCGTTCGTCATGCAACCATCGGAATTTTTCCCCCCTTTTTTTTTGCCAGGAAGACCGCCAGTCTCCGAGTGTGTTACTGGTTCTTTGCTGAGAACATGGACCCCGTTCGTAAGAAATTGGCGAGAAAGAAGGAGCGGGGAAGGGGAAGGGGAAGGGGGGGAAAGAGGAGACACGTGCGGAGATAACGCACCTCCATTAGAAAAACCCTTCACAGCTGAATCCGGTTTGCCGCCTTCCGCATCCCCGAGTGGATGCGTCAAGGATGGAAATTCCTGGGAACGCTGTGAAGGAGGAAGGGGAGAGGAGAAGGATGCTCTCGCGGCTCGTCGAACGTGAGAAGCGGGGGAGGCACTCGCTGACCGTTCCAGGAAATCTGATTTTTCATTCCTTCGCTGCTTCGTCAGCTTCGCTGCATCCTGACAGGTGCGCGAGCCGACGCGCCGATGTGCGCATCCGCCCGGCTCGCTGCATTCAAGCCACCTTGCAATAACGACGCATTTTTTGGCTGGTACGCAGTAGTTGCCGGCGAGGGAGGATTTGCCAGGAGAGGAAAGCTGCGTGCTCCTGATGGGGGAATTTATTTTCATCCAGGCATTTGCATGGCGATGAAGCCTTGAACCCTGGGAAGCCCGGTCCTTAACTTCTAACAGGAGGGAAAGGGCAATCTCATGAATGTCAAGGTAGGGGATTCTCCGTGATGGATCCGCTGTCAGTGTTGAAATTGTGGCTCGGGGATGAACTTCCATGTCAGATTAAAGACTAATTGAGTCTGCTTCTATCCTCTCGGTTGGGTCAATATGGCAGGTTTTCCACAGTATCTTGGCCATTGTCCAGTGCCATTCCCTAATTGAATCAATCGACTTGTGCCCATTGCTCCCAGATTTTTTTTTCCATGAAAAGAGTCCAGTGGGTTAATGCATGCCATTTGATAGGACCTTTGTTACTTGTTTACGAAGAAAATCTCCGCTACAAGGCATTTTCGGGGGACCAGTACGAAAGTACTGGTCCCCCGAAAATCCTCCAGGTGCTCCCCAATCCCAATTGATTTCCACGGAGGCAAATTAGAGATTGATCCGAGCCCCATGAACCCGATTAGCCGCGGGTGCACAAAGCCTCCCAGATTGGAAGAGCTCGCTGGATGTCGATTCCATTGAGATGAGAATCTCTGTGTCCCCCCCTTTGGCCCCTCTCATTTGGTGGATGGACCTTGGGACCCCCCTTTGGCCCCTCTCATTTGGTGGATGGACCTTAGGACCCCCCTTTGGCCCCTCTCGTTTGGTGGATGGACCTTAGGATTGTCTTCAGGCACAATTTTTTACTTTGAAACGAAAGCATTCTGGCTTTACTGTTAGAAATGAAAGTTTCTCCCCAGACGAGGTCAGAAATGCCTCTTTGTAGTCGTTAAACCTAAGCCAGCCTGAAGCACTGCTGTTTTCCATAGCATATTGAATTCATCCTCATTTGCCTTATTATGGTGGGGAATTAAAGTATGAATATCCTTTACATACTTGACTTAGCAATTAGTCTAATATCAGTTGAATCAATTAGTAGCTCATTTTCCCAAAAATTTAATTAGAATGAATTATGCAAAAACAAGGAACAGCCTCACATTAAATAACTTGTTTAGGTAAATGGTACAAGAAGGGTTGTATTTGCCATATCGTTGGCCATGAGGCAGAAAGTTGAAGCTGTAGCATTTGCACAAATATGAATCTGGGCTGTACCAAAGCAATGGCAGGGAACTCCTTTTTTTTGTCCCAAGTGGAGCAGACCTAAATATTGACAGAAGGCTTTGGTTGCAGGAAAGATAAGGAGAGGGGTGGGAAGAGGACATGGGGGGACTGTCAGGGGAGGGACAGCCTGGTGCCAGTGGGGGGGGGGGGGGACCCCCTGTGCAAACTGTGTGGCAAAAAAAGGCCAGGTTCCATAATCTCTCCCTCACAGTGCCCATGGAGGGACTGGGGGTTTGCCTGTTGTCTCAACAATGTCCTGGACTGTGTCCTTCATGCAGCTGGTCCCCTCTGGGGAAACAGGCATGCAAATATGGGGCCATTTATTTCTTTCAAGGGTGATGAGTTTATTATTAACCTTTGCATTTTTTTTATGCAGAGCATTGTTAGTGTGGCATGAAACAGGCTTTCCCTTTCCACATGTCTATTCTCTGGTAATCTAAACGGACTTAATTCTGCTTAGTGGGAAATGCTTTTGAAGGAATACAAATTTAATACATTATTATATAAATATTTTTTTTTTTTCCAGATTTGCTTACTTCACTGTCTTGTGTGGTTCTTTAGTTTTTGGTCATTCCTGTGTGGAATTGTGAAGGTAGTTAAATCATGGGGATAGAGATATGGGGAACAAGCCCAGCTTGTTGTCTCGTCGCACAGGCTCATTTCCTTGCACGATGCTGTCGTCTCCTGCCCTGGTTCTCACCCCTCTCCAATCTGAGTCCCTGTTCTCAGAATATGAAATTGGAACACTTATATGGAACTGCCTGATTGAATGAGTTGTTGTGGTATGTCGATAGGATGTTATTACATTCCTGTCCATAGTGTTTCCTTCTCAGAAAGGTGCTCTGTGTATCTGTGAGGTATCTGGGAATATCACCAGTTTCTGTTGGTTTTATGCATGTAGACCTGTTATATCTGGCTTTGGTCTATGTTGTTTCATGGATTTGGATTGACTTTACACCCTGTCCACTCATGGAAACACCCATTTTCCATACCAATTTCATGGGAGTCAATTTATATACCAAAATAACAAATAACAATGATTTGAGTGTCATGCTCGTTTCCTTCTCTTTTTTTTTTTTAAAACATAGATTGAAGGTGAGTGTATCTCTATGTTGGGTAGCAATGTGTATCTACCCTTTGTTTTTCCGAGAATAACTTTCCTGTGCTGTCACATGCTCTTTGGTCTGCTGACTGCCATCAATTTTATTCATATACACTGGACCTTGAGCAGTTCCTGTCAGTGAAATGTGGTACCTCTGCGTACAGGGCTCAAGGGTGCGTGGAACTAAAAGGCCTCGGTCCTATTCGTAGAAACTGTCTGATCCCTTCTTACGTTTAGAACAGTATTCAGTATTCTTTGGGTGGTTATTGACAACCAGATGACAATGAGCTGGCTTTTATTAGGGGCAGTTCCTTTTAAATTAAGCTGTGGGTTTCATCCCCAGCACAGTTGGCCTGTGTTTAACCCTGTGTCAGGATCCAGCCTTTTCAATCATGCATATTTCTGGGTCATTCAAACAGGTTCTGTTGTGTAAGAGTATTTATGGATTATGGAGGACCGCTTTCTCCTCCATATGGATTGCTGTTGTTTGCCACCACATTACCATATGGTTGCCATGGTTACTATTACGCGGGTGGTTCCCGTGCCTCAGACATAAGCGTCTCATGAATGAATTTGTGGATGCAAGGTTAATGAATCGAATTGGAGTGTCCTTGTCGCTGTGTCAAGCATGTGAGCGTGTCAGAATGTATTTTGAGGTATGCTTTGGTTGGTGCTTTCTCAATCTCTTGAGTGTTTAGGGCTTGACTGAGTCTTGACTTTACTCTTCTCTTTTTTTTTTCTGATGAAGGCATTGACCGGTCAAGACTACTTTAAGGTTTAAACTAGGGCTGTCAATCGATTAAAAGATGTAATCGTTCCCTTAGTTCCTCCTTGAATTATGTCCTAGGCGTTGGGAATGATTCGGCTTGTGTCATGGCCAACGCCTCTGTGAGCCTCAGGAAGTGACTCAAAGGAGATGCAGTCGCTAACGTAGCAGTTACTATCCATAAATACGCTAGTTCGTCCTCTAAGTGACACGTTCCAGTCGGAAAGAAAATGGCTAGATAAGTCATGAAACGTAAGCTAAGAAGAGGACTGAGGTCCTTCGCCATTTAGCCAGCCCGTAATGGAAGGGTACGAAAATGTAACCTAAATGGTTGGACGTTTGCTGTGACACTTCCTTACGAGGAGGTCTAAAGATTCATTAACGATTTATTGGCAACACGGGATGGAAGAGAAAAAATAGGAGCAAACAAGGAATAGGAGAGGGTTTCCTCTTCTCTCGCCTGCCCCCGGCTTTTCCCCCTCTTTGCTCTCCGCGGGCTCTCGCTGACGGTCGCCGGGGCACTTACACGTTCGCCGCTCACTCTCGATGTCTTTACGTTATCCTCTTTCCTGCCTCGCCTGTCCAGTGTCGCCGCCCGACGCCTCTCTTCCTTCTGGGCTTTCCCCTGCGGCGGCTTCTTGATGACTTTCTTTTCACCATTCGCATGCAGTAACTTTTCGGTCGCACTGCCTTATGCTGCCGTTACCTTAACGTGACTGCAAGGCTTTTGCCTTTGAAGGTCGTAGGCTGGGCAGAAGGGCACGAGATGCGCGCCTGTGCGACTGTGGGTGCGAAGGGATCAGAAAACTTTAGGTTTGAATCGTCAGGAAGTGATAGCTTTATTTTTTGTGTTCCCTTTTTCCCAATATAGTGTGTTGTTTTTCGGAAAGAGTGAGCTGTGGGAAATTCGACTACCTTCTATAAGCCTTCATTGCATTTTATTCCCTTGATAAAGCATTCGTTTTCGGTCATTTTGCGAAACGGCGAACGACGGGGTAATATTATGGGGGAAAGGCATTCAGTGGGAGGTTAGGAGGTCGATTAATCTCGGCTAATTTTATTAATCGCGATTGGTACTTTAATCAAATCGAATTGACAGTCCTAATTTAAACAGATCCTCTGACATTTCTCCCTCCCCGCCAATTAGGTAAAAAAGAAAAAACCAGGCAAATGGGTGGACTGGCTTCTTGCATGGGAAGTGCATGAATGTCAATCTGGTATAAAACTGTGACATAAACTTCATCCCAAACTTGCACGCTAAGGAAAACTTCTTTTGCAATTTAAAAAAATTGGCTTAAGGTGTCCTCATATGACTACACCAGAAAAAAAGGGACTCTAAGGCTATTATGACCATTAAATAATTTTTCTGTCAGTGAAAGCATCAAATTGTAATGAAAATCTCTACATTTCAAGTGATAAACATTGTACAAGGCAATCCTGGGTGTCATGTGGTGTGAAATCTTCTGAATCTGTTTCAGCCCCTTGTTTGTAACATGGAAGATCGGAAAGGACCGCCGTCTGCGCGGCTGCATGGGAACATTTGATGCCATCAATCTGCATTCTGGACTCAAGGAATATGCGGTCACCAGGTCAGAGGAGTTGCTGTTGTGAATTTTATTGCAACCATTATAACTGTTTCATGGGGTTTCTTTTGAGTATCCATTTAAATATTTTAGAGTCTAGTGAATGCACATTCTGAACAAGCCCTTCTTTTAAATGTGTAGGGCTGAGTCTCCTTATTCATGGAATTTCCAGTTTTCATCATCCTGAGTGGCTGTGGAGAGGGATTATACATTATTCATCCTTGTTGATGGCTGTGGATAATTCAGAACTTTTCAATTTTCCTTTCTCATATTCAACACGAAACAGAAACAGTAATATGAGGAGCATTGAAAATGGGAAATGATACTTGATTACTGTGGTGAGATAATGGAACTGTTGAAATCCAATGGTTCATTGCATTATTTGGATGAGTTGGCATGCTAAGTTTATCAGGTGTAATGAAGGATTAAACCCTGCAACACTTTCAGTAACACGGAAAACTTGCATTGAAAGGAAATGTGTCACTCTTGAAGGAAGGATGTCTCCTGTTCTTAAGATTCATGAGCACCCCAGAAATGTCTGCCTTAGCTGAAGTGAAGGATGAGTTTTTTGCTTGCCTGCAGTGCATTCAAGGACAGTCGCTTCCCACCCGTGAGTCGAGACGAGTTTTCCAAGCTCCACGTGTCGGTGTCGATCCTCCGTCACTTTGAGGAGGGGCTGGACTTCCTCGACTGGGAGGTCGGGATACACGGGATCCGCATCGAGTTCCACAACGAGAAGGGCAACAAGCGCACTGCCACCTACCTCCCCGAAGTTGCTCCCGAACAAGGTATTGCTTCGTGATTTGTGTTTCTCGACCTTGTCTTTTTTCCTTGGGGGGTCTTCCTTGACAAAGAGTAATTTTGTGCTTATGGAATAAAATGTGAATTTTTCTTCCTGGTATATCATGAAGGACGTACTGCCTATGAATGGATATGCAAAGCAAGGGCAAGAGAAATAAACGAGAGGAAAAAGGGTAGGTTATGGAATCCTTGAGAATCACATGTGATGCACACTAGTGACACTAGCAGCCCCTGCCCTATGGTGCATCTTCTTCCCAAACAAGGTATATAAATGTGTTAAGTCAGACTGAATAGGCATGCTCAAAGAAAATCACTACTAGTGAAGGAGCATTATTCTGATGTATTGGGGTTATTGCAGTCTTGGAAACCTGGAGAACCTCAGGAAGTTGAAATGGGGTGCAAAGGTTGAGATGGTTGCCCCAATTTCCAGAAGGTTGTGTCATTCGAAATGCAGCGTTTCTGTGCAAAGTTGCTCATTTTGGTTGGGAAAATTAAATTTCCCCTAACTTATTTCAGAAAGTCATGGACATTGAGTCGAAAATCCCAGTACCTGTAGGTACCCAATAAAATTCACATATGTATTTTTTTAATAGCATTTCCAAACACAGACAGGAAGAAGGATCACCAGATATGCACGCCTGCCTCATTACATAATAAATTTGATTTTTGGAAAGTTTATATACCATGGAAAACATTACTCCCTCAGAATTACATAAACATTAGCAGGTGATGAGTACTCTGTTATATGTGGGGGGCCTGACTGTCTGAGTGGATCCTGTACCGTGGTTTGCATGTAATGCGGACTGTCTTAACGGCCATATCCTACCCTGTGCTTGGTGGATTTGCCACATGTCTGTTTGAAACTGAACACCTGGTTTGAATAGAAGGGCTTTTCGAACTGGAACGCCCTGATATTTACAGATGTTTGTCTTGTTTGGTCACGTCTCTATGATATGAAGGCCGTTAGCTCTTTCCTTTTTTTTTTTTTCATCCCATGATGATCGATCAGTTCTGTGTTTGCTATATCGTATAAACCCCTGACCGATGGTGAGGGTTTGGGATTTTATGAGTTTGCATTAAGCATGCAGGCTGAAATGGGTGAAAGATCATCATATTACATAGTTAATTATGGAGGGTTAGCCATGAAAAACAGCGAGAAGGGGTGGGGTAATTCAGGTGCCTCAGACTTGGTTCCTCTATTTTCTGAATGGAGCCTGGTATGTTCTGCTCTGATGATGTTGTGTGTCCCTTGTCTTTTCAAGGAGTGACACTCGACCCGCTGTCATCTCCTCTTTGTCTTTAATGCTGGTTTTGTCATTGCCTTTCTCATGGCACCCACTTTTTCATTTTTCATACGATTGATTTGTGGAATATCTTTTTATTCAATTCTTGTTGTCTGTTTCCCCTCTTTTGGTCTTAGTCATGGACCATGCTTGGAGAAGTGAGAAGCTCTCTTATTTTTGGAAATCTGGTGTGGGCAGTTTGCATGGGCATAGTAATGAATGACCATAGATCAATAATAATGAATGGTCACAGTATTACGTTTGTAATAAGTGACCTGGTCATTTATTCCTTCATGCGCTCCCCCATGCTTTCTCATGAACATTTTTTCCTGGTTTGCCTAAAGGGGAAGGGTGCTAAGGTATTGCTTTGGTAGAATCCCTCAATAAAAAAATCAACAGTGGAACAGTACAAGGCAATGATTATTGACAGTGTAGCAGCTGTGAATTTACCAATGTGATCATTGGTAGACAATGTTCATCCTGTATGGAAATATAATTCTTATCAAATTCATTTCAGATTTGGTTTCTTGGTCAGGTAAAGAACATGAAAAGTTCTATTTTTCAGTAATAAGTGCACTGTAATGGTTTTTCTCTTTATTGCTTTACAGGTTGGGACCGTATCCAGACCATAGACTCTCTGCTGCGCAAGGGCGGGTTCAAGGGCTCCGTTACGAACGAGGTGCGACGTTCGATCCGCCTCACCCGCTACCAGAGTGAGAAGATCACCATCAGTTACCAGGAGTACATGATGTGCTGGCGGGCGCGACGCTACTGCTAGCACCGGCTTCCCCTCGCCTCGAGCGAGGGATCCCTCCTACTTTGGGCCTCCTTTTCCCCCCTCCCAATTTTTCTCCACGAGCACTTCATGTAACACTTTGAGCGTCATGCGACCACCTGTGGTTAGAATGGAACCAATGCGAATCGAATGTAATGCCACCAGTGACGCTCATAGTGTTCGAGCCCTTACTCTCCTCCTTTTTAGAATGGCAGTTCAAGGCCTTTTTGAGTCTCATTCCACTCAGTTGCAATTTATTGGACTTGTTTCCGGCTCTGGTGTATTTTGTGAACTTGATCAGAGACGAGGAAGGACCAAATTCAGCCCCATACATTTTGTGTTCTGAAGCAGTCCTTGCTCAATGTTCCATTTCAGGTTTGAAGTGTTTGAATTTGCATGTTGTGAGTTGCATTTTGAGTTCGGGGAGTAATGGTGATAGTTTTGGAAACTTGTGCATCAGTTCACGTCTGCTTCTTTTTTTTTTTTTTCAAGGGACTTAAAATCAATAACCTGTATGTTTTTATAATACCTAGTAGCTGCCAAATAAGGTAGTCCACTCCATCACACTGGCTCGTGAAACATTCATTTGGAGCTTTCAGTTTTGCTGTTTCTCTCTGGGGCTAATGATGTCCTCAGTTTGTTTCAAATGCCTTGAACTCCTGTTCTAAGATGCCCCTCTCCTTTGCCTTTGACCTCATTCTCTGCTTTCCCTTGTGTTCCCTTCTACATCATCGTTCCCTCATCATTTTTTGTGTTACAAAGCAGGTCCACCTTTGTGTGTTGACATCGAGGTCCATCGTGTCGAAGGAAAACAAAAAAAGCCAACAAACCTGGCAACCGAGCCACGCCCTGTCAGTCTTTCAACCTCTGGCATCTCAGGAAGCTCGAAAAGGAAAAAAGTGGCTGAAAAGAGAAAGAACGAACGAACGAAGGAGTTGCAATTGTTTGCAGAATATCACATCTGTCTCTTCAACTTCCAAAAAGAAGAATATGCTTTCGAATCACGGTGATAGTGAGTAGTTTCTGCCTCTTATCAGGCGTAGAGGATCCACCCTCATTCAGATTCATAACTGGAAATTCATATTCACGTCTTGCCATCACTTCCAACTGCACACGTCTGAAGACCGAAGTCGAACTTGGAGCCTGGGTGATGATCAGATTCCCCCGTTTGAACCACGGATGCTGAGGGGACAGGAACGACACCGGCTTCCTGTGATCTAACCTCGTGAAGACGGTGCCTCACTTGTCGGTGTCGATAGGGGCCGCGGCCGTCCGTCGCACGGCCGTCTCCGCCTCTGTGGAGTCGTCGTGGGTGAGCGTCTGGGTAGCACGTCTGTGTGCGTGTCTGTGTCTGCGAGTGGCACGTTCAAAACACCTAGATCTCTCAAGGCATCAGCAGCAGTCAGCTTTGATAAAATCCGTAACTATGACTGTGAATTAAGCACCAGGCCAATCGGTGCCCTAACAATCTGGAGGAGAACATCAAGAATTAACTGTATTCGGTAAAGGATGCATTCAGGAGATCTTGATTGCAAATGTATGTATATCTGTATGCGAGCGTATGTGAGAGGAAGGGAGAGTGCATGTGGGTGAGTGGGTGAGAATCGTGGTTGCTCATTTATTCGCACTCTTGTCACGTCTGTGGATCGTATGGCCTCGCGAAGAGGGAATCCTGTAGCGATTGCACCATCTCATTGCCATCAGTTGTCAGATGTAACAGGTACTGCCATGAAGCACCAGTAGAGAACAGTCTGGATACAGTATCTTACCTTTGCCATCTCTGATGCATTCATTATGTACTTTTTTTCTGTCTTCATGTATAAGATTGTAACACCTATCCATGTTTATTATAGCCACTTGTCGGAGATTGAATGAGACATAAGCTGAGCGTGCGATTACCAAGCAAATATGTTACCTTTTATTTGGAAAGTGTGTTGACTCGTCTGTATATCTAATTGGATTGTTGATTGCCTCATGCTACTAACACACATCTGGAGGGAAGGCTCTTGAACCTTAAATCATTTTGTGATTTCTTGAACCAATTTGTTTTTTTCCCTTGAAAATTCCGAATTGCTGGACCAGAGAGAGAGCAGTCACCGCTCCAAACGTCTGGAACCCGTGTCGTATATCATTCGTCGACGACACCAAAGAGGCTCAAGGTTCAAGGTCCTTCCCCCTCCAGATGGCAGTTCTTTCAAGTCAATTCTTGACTTTTTCGTGAATTTTAAATCGCCTTTTTTTTTTTTTCCTTGCTCCAGAATAGGCCAGACTCTTGTACACAGCCACAATCCGTTAGATGCAGCTGCGGTTCAATTGGTATCTCGGTTCGCTCCTCACTAGAGCGGTCTTTCGAGAGATGTCGGTCACCGAGTGATTTGTATAACCAGGCGCTTTCACGATTTGAGTGTCTTTTTGTGGGTAGGCCAGAATCCTTTTTCCTTTTTTTTTTTGTTGCTCATAGACCACATTTTTCGCTGATGGAGCATTCCACGACAAAGAAGCTCTCCCAAAAATCCTCTCTGTATGGGTGAATCGGCATTCTAGGCTTATTTTTCTCTCTCGTATTCCTCTCCTCAACAGATCTCAGAGTGTCGAAGTGCTACTTACCGAAGTCGTTCTCTCAAGTAATCCGGTAAACGTTCTTGTGGAACTGCAAATAAAGCCTTGGATTGGCCACAATTTTGCTGTTTGCTTTAGTCGGGTGATTGGTTGTGCAAATATCTGCTGCAGTCTGGGGACTCGCGTTTGGCACGCTCGGACGAATGCTGTGGAATTTTTCGTAATTTTTTGGGTATCCCTTCAAAAGGGCTACTCATTGCACATTCTGGCACTGAAAGCTAATTTACTAATTTATAGCGGCTGTTTTGAAACAAAGATACCGGGAAGTGCTTCGCGACCAAAAGGCTTAATTTATGAAAAATTCGAGTCTCATTTGAGTTAAACTAAAATAGAATTTTAAAATATATTATTTAGATAAAATCGTGTCCTTTTCCACATGGAAGGAATACGAGTATGCAATTTAATTCTCCCCGGTGAAAGAAACCTTTGCATTATTCTAATCCGGGGAAGCCTTCCGGGGTTCGCCCGTGACCGCGTCATCCACTTTCTCTCGATCACGCTCACGCGTGACCGCGCAGCGATCGCATGACCGTTTTGTTTATCGGCCCTGTTGGGTCCAATTTAATTTTTAAAACTAATTTGGGACAAAAAGGTACTTAATGCATTCAGTTCTCGTTCGGCAAAACTTTCTTCGCCATTATTTTATCTTCACGAGAAAAAAATTGGCAAAAATTGCCGAATGACTTGGACTTCGGCCTATCCATCTCTAATTCCCCAGAAGAAACGTGGTTTTCGCAATAGAAGACAGATGGCGCGGGAATCGCCGTCGTGGCAAGTTTGCCCCAGCGACGTCGCTAGATTTATTTCGCTGCATGCAATGACTTCGATGACGTCACTGGACGCGTGGTTACAAGGTCTTACCGTAATTGCGATGCAAATGTTCCCATCGCGTTCGATTAACATTTTCTTTCAGTTACTAACTTTTCAGATTCGTTTGCAAACAATTCACCTTTGAGAACGGTCATGGACCAGAAAAGGAGCATCGAGCGACAAACTTCATTTAAATTTTCGTCAAGCAATTTGCACAATGTAATTTGCACGGTAAGGGAATAAAAAACCTGTGACTATTTTGTCCCGGATTCATGAAAATGGCACGAACGTGCCATGTGGAAAAAAAATTTGAAAGAAGAGAAACTTCTCGTCTTTGCGAGAAACGACACGTGAGGGATGACGAGGCGATTTCCGCGGCGAAGGAAAACGAAAAAAAAAAAATCACACTACAGAGCACCCACATCCATTCGCAGGGACGCAGTGCTCGAGCAGCCGACGGCGTCGTCGCGCGTCCACGATGCTTCCGCGTTCTCGACTCTTCCCGCCCTCCGTCCTGCTGTGCGCGGCGTCGCTCGCCGTGCTCCTCGTCCTCGTCCTCGTCCTGACTGATTTCTCCTCGCGCTTCCAGTGCCGGCCGGCCGGGGACACCCTGGGCATGATCCCGCCGGCGTTCCCGGGCGTGCAGCGACCCAAACGCGACGCCGACCCGAGCGAGGGGCAGATGACGAAGAGGCTCATCGTTTCGCTTTTCCCCGTTGAGGTCAGCCGTCCCCCATTCCGACAGTGGTGCATCACTAAGATCTATTTTTTTTATTATTGCCATAATTATTGGAGTGCCAAGAAAGTTATGAATGCACTTTGAGCATAGTTTTTCTCAGCTCACTCCTAATGAAGCGGTTAACAATTTATTGTTAACCTTGGTTAACAATTTATTGCATGACGTAGCAGACACGCTACATACCAAAGAAACATTTTCAGAATGCGCAGGTAGGTAAACATGTTCGTAGCAGATGTATAGCTGTCCGGTCCTAATAACTAGCAACCATGAGGTCGCTAGGTGCCAATCTAGGTGCTAGGTGGCAATCAAATTACACCCAATCTGGCTTCGTCGATTGACGTTGTTGGAATTTTATAAAAATTTTGTTCTGAAAATTTGCGTTAATCCAGGTTCCAGGCTCGCCCGCACTTTTACATTTCCTTTTTTGCTGACTCATGCACGGACTGACTGAGCATGTGCATGCCGCATGAGTCGAGTCTAGTTTCGAATAAACATAAATAAGTCATACTTTCATGAAATGAAGTCTCAAATAGCAATTTTAAAAATGGTACTGGTTTTTTGCCTTTACTTTCGCGGGAAGGTGAGCTGAATTAGTTTCGCAACTCGGAACAGGATGAAATTCGAAAGACAGAACTACAGTAATTACAATGTACACAGAGATGATCCTTTATTAAAGGTCCCCCTGGACTTCACAATTATTATTATTCAGTTAATATTCAAATTATTCCAAATCCGCAGAGTGATTCACATGTGAACTGATTTTCGCTGCATGCAATGACTTCGATGACGTCACTGGACGCGTGGTTACAAGGTCTTACCGTAATTGCGATGCAAATGTTCCCATCGCGTTCGATTAACATTTTCTTTCAGTTACTAACTTTTCAGATCCGTTTGCAAACAATTCACCTTTGAGAACGGTCATGGACCAGAAAAGGAGCATCGAGCGACAAACTTCATTTAAATTTTCGTGAAGCAATTTGCACAATGTAATTTGCACGGTAAGGGAATAAAAAACCTGTGACCTCGGTGATTGACCCCTGACATACTTTCGGCCTCCACCGCTAGATGTCGCTAGCGAGCCCCAGTGAATAGTTATACATGAAACTCAAAATGAAATTTCCAACTCGGAATGAAATAGCCAGGGAAGCACCTAGTGGCCCTAGGCTGGAAGTTGGAGTGAAAGTGTCCCGGCACGGAACCTTCAAGGACATCAAGTCCCGTGAACGACGGTCTCACGGTCCCTAGGGGACTTGCCTACTCGAGGACGCTCGGGGAGTGCGCACCAGGTGGTAAAGTAGTGGAATCCTGGCACGACCCAAGCCGTGAAGAGGTTGGTGCAGACCGTACGTGCTCCACGACCAGGAGTCGCGATTCCCCTGACCACGTGGGAAATTCCCTCAGGCGCGCCTGAGGGAATTTCCCGCCGCGACTGCGAGAGCAAGCTACATCCCGGCCACCTGGTACTACCGCCCTAGAGCTAGCCGAAGCGCGAGGACGCTGTCGTGGTATCGTTGTGGAAGAGACGGAAGTCTTCCCGCCCTCCTAGGACGGTACAGGTCTTCCCGCCCTCCTAGGACGGTACAGGTCTTCCCGCCCTCCTAGGACGGTACAGGTCTTCCCGCCCTCCTAAGACGGTACAGGTTTTCCCGCCTTACACCCTTCAAGGAGGAAGGATACCTTTCGTCGCAAGGAGCGCTCTTCGTCCCCGGGCCACTTCGCTTAGCCGAATGCCGAGTGTTGGGACCCCTGAGCACCTTCTTCATTATTGATGCATATTTGTAGCAAAGGACAGAAACACAGGAATTGATTCTATTGTTAACGATTCCCCTTTCATCTTACATACAAAAGCCTCTTTCCCTTATAATAAAAAAAGGGGAACAGGATGGTACAATAATTTTTAAAATTGGTAATGAATCTTGATGAACCGTTTTTTTTTTTTACCGCAGGGTAAATACATTTATTTTTACTATTTTGTCCCGGATTCATGTGGAAAAAAAATCTGAAAGAAAATAAACTTCTCGTCTCTGCGAGAAACGACATGTGAGGGATGACGAGGGATGACGAGGCGAAGGAAAATGAGAAAAAAAAAATCTGCAATGTCGCGTTGCCAAAAAAAAAACGAAAATTTGCGATCCTGTTGAGAAAATCGACAAATTTGTGCGATGGGTTTTTCCTGGTTTTGTCGATTATTTAACTAATTAATTTAATTAATTGATCCGTTCATCGGCTCTTCTCCAATCCGGATCAATTTAAAAAACGTCAATGTTTGGATGGCATCACGTTTTTTAAGTTTTACGGTGAAAACATTGATAATTAGTGGAAATAACATTTCCTGCGTAAATCTGGTAAATATCGCATATAAATATGGTGCATGGTGACCCAAGGTGGCCCAGGGTGACCCAAGGTGGCCCAAGGTGACCCGGGGTGATCCTAATCGACTCGCAATTTGTGGGTGACGAATAACCGTGGAAGTTTTTTTTTGCATTTGGATTGTCCAAATGATCGCAGTAGGGACCTATAGACACAAAATGACTCAAATTGACATTAAAAAAAACGATTAAATTTCATTAAATTATACATTGATGCTTAGTGGTACCATTTTCAACATAGATTGGGCAATCTCAAAATTTTTAAAAATTTCATTTGGATGTCGAAATGAAATTTGGACAGCTCACGAGACATGGAGCGAGTAGGTGAGCCACTTTGGGCGCTCAGTGGCACTTTGGGCACTTTGGGCCGCTCAGTGGCACTTTGGGTCACTTTGGGTCACTCGGACCAGATTTCACGATGAAGGTAATTTTTATGCGACAGCATTAGCAGAGCTAGGACGGAAGTTCGGTACTTTCGCTAATTGGCGCCTTGCGATTTTTCCTCGAAGTCGTTCCTCGAAGTCTTTAAAGTCTTACCTCGAAGTCGTTCCTCGCAGTCTCATCGCTTCCCCGATCCGGAACCGAAGCGACAGGCGAGCAACCTCGCCTGAGTCGCTTCTCCCTCCGCTTGAGCGGCGTCAGCCGTCCCGTCGCAAGGGCGGGGGAGGCGTGCGGGGTTTTTCGTGTGTCGGGGCCTCCGCGCCGTGAACGCATTCTCAGTGGATGGGGCTCTCGATGTATGAGGCTCTTGGTGGATGGGGCTCTCGGTGGATGGGGCTCTCGGTGTATGGGGCTCTCGGTGTATGGGGCTCTCGGTGGATGGGGCTCTCGGTGGATGGGGCTCTCGGTGGGCTTCGCGCGGTGCTCGGTGTCGTCTCGCAGAAAATCCAATTTAAGTAAAAGCGTGATGATGTTAAAATAATTCATAAGTTCATGAAATTTGATCGAGCTTGGTTTACTCTTCACTTAAAGCCAACTTAAAGCCAACTTAATCAAGTTGGCTTTCGTCTGACGCGTGACAAGGCAAGTCTGGGCAGGTCGCGGCGTTGACATTAGGCTATGATTAATAATGAATGATTAATATGCATATTTTAACAAGATTAATATGTATAATTTTTGCTCCAGGCCAACAGAAGCGTTTA